AGGGATTCATGTACCCTAGGTTAAGAATCCCCTCTAAGGTAACTCTGTAATTCACTTAAAATAGATTTTACATGAAAATATTTAATTACAGTTCAGATACATCAAAGAATTAAAATTAATTTAAGGCAAACTGCCTTATTTCCAATAAATATTCAGCACTCATCCCCCCATTTATTTAGGAATATTTTTAAGGCCACAGAAAAGTTAAAAGAACAACACAATGAACATCTTTATACTCTTCACCTACATTTACCTATTAATATTTTTTCACATTCATTTGATCTCTTTCCATATCCATATCTACACATCTATACACACATATCTATGTATTTGCCGGGGACAGGGCTGGGCCATTTGAATGTAAGTTGCAGATATTATAACATCACTTCCCTATGAATCTTCTAACAAGAAATTTCTTACGTAACCACAAGACAATAATTACATCCTCTCACATCAGGAAACCTAAGGAATTTAGCAGTAAGTGTCACCTTACATACAGTCTATATTCAGATTCCCTGAACTGCCCAACGATGTCCTAACTCTCTGTGCCTGTGGCTCAAGATCTAACAGGATCCCATGCTGACCCTCAATCCTCTCTGGTCTGGAGCAGCACTCCCCGGCCTCTGTGAGCGTTTCACACCTGAACTTTGAAGGGTGTGGAACAAAGACAGCTATCTTGTAGAATGTCCCCGAATCTGCATTTATCTGATTTCTTCCTCAAGATTAAATTTAGTGAACACATTTTTGGAAAGACTCCTACATAGGTGATGTCACATCCTTCTTTGTGCTCAAAATGTCAGACAGGCCTGCTCACTAGTGGTGATGTTGAGACATTTGGTTAAGGGGGTATCTATTCCCCTGTAGTTAAGAAATAATCTGCAAGGCAAGACTTTGGGTCTGTGTAAATATCTTGCCATGCATACCTTTCACTCAGTGGTTTTAGCTTCCATTGATTATTCTTGCCTAAATCAATGACTATACTGGGGGTTCCATAGAGGTGATTTTCTTTTTCTTTTTTAAATTTTTATTGATTTGAGAAAGAGGGGAACATCAATCTTGTTGTCCATTTACTTATGCATTCATTGGTTCATCTTGTATGTGCCCTGACTGGGGATCACCACAGTGGTGATTTTCTACCTCTGTGATTCCTTCTGTACTCATTAGTTGGCATTCTTCTATAGGAGAAGCTCTGACTCTTTTGACTCTCTTGCCTCTGTTACTATAAAAAATAACAGACATGTATTTGCAGGGGACAGGGTCTGGGCCATTTGAATGTAAGTTGCAGTTATTTTGACATGTTACAATCCACTGCCAACTTTATTCTTTCGAAGGTACTCGAACTACCTGCACATAGGTTTCTATATTCTGTTCACACGTCCGCAGCCATCTTTCAGGCCTGTTGGTACAACGAGATGTTTTAGGCACACTCATCCTTTCCTGGCCTGATCTGGTCCGCCCAGTGGAAGACGCTCCCTAAAAACATACATGTGGACATCAGGTGCATTCTCTACCTTCAAGTCTTCTCAGTGGGAAGAACTGGGCACTTTCTTTAAAACAAAACCACTACTTGTACCCATTCTTCAAAACAAACTGACTTTTGAGGCATTATTTAAAAATAGTTGACATGTCCCTGGCTGGCTTTGTCAGAGTGATTTTAAAGATATTCTGTAAATTTGGATTTGATATGAAATTTCCTGGTTTTAAAAAATACGATATGCTCCAAATCTGCGCCTCAATACTCCCCAGGGTCATGACCTGCACTATAAAGTGAATGCGTTATAATCCAACATAAGGGATACCTGAACATTCTGACCCACCCAGTAAGTCATAGCCATCCATTCCTTTCAGAAGTCTGTGAATACCTGCTCTACACAGCCGTTATGTTATGCATCAAGAACATGTTATTTATATCCCAGGATTCGATGACCTAGAACATTCTAAACCTAGGTATTTATTTGCAAGCCATAGCCCTGCATGTCCCTCAGGGATTCTCTGATGATGGATCACCCCGCCCCCTGATCTTGCTTTTTCTTCATAGCACTAACACCATTCACAATGAATAGACAGACCAACAGATCCCTTGTAGCTGCTACTACATGAGACCGTCACACGGTCCACTCCCATGTACTTAGAAGGGGAGGGTAGAAGAGGAGACACCAGGTACTGGCTGTTGAACACCACAAACGCAATCACCTGAGTGACACTGAGCTCGGGAAGGCGTCACCCGTGGCCACAGGCACCCCTAACCCATACCCATTGGATTCTTAATTTGAAGATGATTTCCCAGGTCTTTCTCAGCTCATTTGTCTGGGCTTGAACCACTCCACTTCTATAGTAGAAGGTGGTGAGGAGAGGGTCTTAGAAATCATATATGAGTTTGGCTTAAGCAATCTATTTCTATCTTTACATGCTTGGTCATGTGAGAAACTCATGTTGAAGTTCCTTTTATAGCAATCCATGTCTGTGTTCATAAAATATCAATACAGAGAATATTACTTTTTCAGTTCTGTAATTAATTTTCTTGTTTACCATATAATAAGGTGCTGGTTATTCATGATTCCTAACAACACTGTTTGATATAGTAAAAGGAATTCTCCCATATTTAGATCAAAGCCTGATGAGGCAAAAACCAAACAATAAAAATAACAAACATGCAGGAAAGAATGATGTCCCCTCCACAGAATCCCTACAGGCACCCAAAGCAGAACATTTTCTCCTCACATTACTTCAGGGAAGAGGAGGTACTGCTGTGTCCGGAACAACAACCTATGAAAGTGCGGAGGAAAACCTCAGTTCCTTTCCGAATGGTGTGTCCGTGCATGCTGGGCCATCTAGACAGCTGTGAGGAGAGGCTTTGCATCCTGCAGCCCCAGGACTCCGGGAGGCGGCCTGTGCCCTGGGAGGGACCCTAGCCACAGTCTGCAGGTCAGGGTGAATAACCCAAATACTACGCCCAGGCTGGCATTATGTCCAGGGCCAATTTCTTTCCCAAGCCCTTAGACCAGAGATCAAAGCAAGGTGCTGGAGGAGACAAGCCCAGGCTCACACGTGGGGGGAGGAGAAAGGGCTGTGATACACCTATACAAAGACCACCCCCAGGAAGTGCCTCCTAGCTCTCCAGACCAGAGGCAGAGCCCCCCTGAGAAGAGTTGTGCAGATGACCGTCGTGGATTAACCGTGTGGGCAAGGCCCAGGCCGAGTGGGAGCGCACGCCCGAGAGAAAGAGCTGCTGCACAGCCCCAGCCAGGCAGTGCCAGGTGAGGACAGGTGGCACACGCTGACAAACCTTCACTTGTCAAGAGAAGCTGAAACCTCATGATTTCTAAATACAAAAACTGCACCCAACAAAAACTCACACACGAGCCTCAGATAATAATGTTCGAATGTTCATAGCTGAGCTACAAATGGGAATGAACCCAGCTGACTATACATAAAATATGTGATTCCTGGCATATTCGTACAACAGAATACCATACAGTAATGAAAATGAACAAGTAATTGTTCATGGATATAAAACACACAACGTTGAATGAAGAAAGCCAGACACAAAAGAGAAAGTATGGTAGGACTGGTCCGTTTATGGGAAGTTCAGGAAATAAGCTGCGGTGCTGGAAGCCGGCAGGGGCCCCTCTGAGGAGGGGTCTGGGGGTTGCAGAGACTTTTTGCTCAGGGTTCAGTTTGTGGAAATTGATTGAGCTGTACCACTATGGTGTGTTTATATTTTTGTAATCTACACTTCTGTTCAAAGTTAAAAAATCCAGTTCAGCTTGATGTCCCAGTTCATCAAGGTGACATGTTTAGTTCAAAACAAGAACCATGTTTTGAATAAAACACAACTGAATACATGAGAGCATGAGCATTTGAGCATCCTGACCAAACAGGAGGGCTACCACCCTTCAGGTGCTGTGGGCTGGAGCTCCATGGGGGCCAGTATATGAAACTGTGTACCTCGAGGTCCAAGACAGGGTGTTTCACTTGGCTGGGGGCTGGCCACTCCGCACATCCAAGGCACAGGACTCTCTCTATGGCTGCAGCTGCCATTTCTCTGGGAGGAGGGAAGGAAGTCAGAACCTTGATGCAGGAGAATTGCTGGTTGACTAGAAACACGCTTTGTGAGTAGGCTGGTCCCCGTCTGCACATCAGGACGACCCGCTGGCATCGCGAGCACTGGTGAGGCTTTCTCACCAGGTGCAGGACCATGTTCTCTCTTGAAGGACGATGTCTTATTTGGTGTAGGAACTGGGCATTCTCTCAGGGGTATGTGGGAAAGAGTATGCTACCAATGCCTTTCTTCTCAGGGAAGGATGTCATTCTGCTCCCAAGTCCTCCCTAAACACTGTGTGGTCACAGCAGACATTCTCTTGAAAAGGCAAAGTCTGAGCAGGTGTCGCTTAGATCTGGGTGTCTATGCCTGTATTGGAGCACACAGGCTGGAAACTGAGGCATCACAGAGGCCTGGTCTGCAGCACCCCGGACATGCCTATGCCAGGGCTAAAGCTTTTAAAGAAATCTTGAGAAGTATGCTTTATGTAACAGCTCCAGTCACCAGAAAACAACAGCATGGCTCCCCTCTCAGACACATCTGGAGTCCGGGTTTATACTCCAGTAGTGTGCGTGTTCTTTACTAAAACTGAAAAATATTTTCTGGGTCTATAGAGGGCAATTTTAAAATTTGTAATTTACAAGTATTTATTCATTTAAGAATTTCATAAAGTACTTTTTCAAATCAGTTATTCCTTGAGTGACTTCCACTGCATTTTCAGTGGCCACTTGCCATGTATTATTAAACACTCTTTTTTTCTTCAGAAGCTTCCAGTAGACGTCTAGAGTTTAGCTAGAAGTCTTGGCTACAATACAAACAGTGATGGAAAACACATGAGCAGTAACAAGTTTTAATCTTGCTTCTCAGTACTAACATGGGCTAATCTGTGGAAGCAGCTCATTCCACTGTCACCCAGGATATAGCCACACCAGGCTCTGCTGAAGGGTGCTCTCTTTTAAATGGGACACCTCATATTGTCTTCTTAACTGATACCTGAGGACATTGCAGATGAGTAGTACATGGTGGAAAATTCTCCTTTCATGAAGACGTACTCTCTTCCTACAAGGTATGTTTCCTGTATTTTTTCATGTACCAGTATACAATTATCTTACAGTTGATACTAAGGGGACTTAATGCAATTAATACAAATGCTTGTAAATTATATGATAAAGTTTATCTGTATAATTTATTAAAAATCAGTACTTAATTATATAGCAACCTAAAATTACTCCAGCTTTTTATGTTCTATATATAATGAATTTATTTTCAATATAATTGTAACCCTTTTTTTTTACAGCTAAGTGAAAACCTGTCATTTTGCTTTACCAAAATCATTTACACAAACATCTATTTATTCTTTTAGGGAAACAATATTACCTTAATAATTAATGATAAGAAAGTTTGAGAATATCACAAATACATTAAACAGTATTTATTTTGAAATGTAAAACTATGTATTTTCTAATGTATTTTTAACTATATTAAGTATTCAAACGTTGTTTACTTACACAGTTGAATGTTCCTATTTTCCTCTGATAAATGTCTTCCTTACTCTAATGTAATGAAATGTACAGTTAAAACAGAAATCTATATAATCTCAAGGAAGAATAATAATCAGCAACAGTTTAACTAGCTCTACAGTCAACATAAAAAATTAGAAACTTTTCACAAAATCCATAAAGTCAGAATTTAAAATAAAGAGTTCCTTTATCCCATCCCAAAAGTAAATTTTGTATTAAATCTGAGATTTGAAAAAATTAACAGTGTACTTGATATTCTACTCCCTCATAACCTAAACAGAGTAGAGCCTTCTTTCCTGTAACCTGCTCAGAGGTGTGACAACCAGGAACCATGACCACATGCGCAGGATTAAATGACAAGGGAACCTGAGGGGTCTCTCTCTCTTTAAAACTAAAGTACTTTTAATGCATAACCAATGAACATAAACAACAATGCCTGGGAGGGGGGTGGGGTTGGGAGGAGGGTGTCTAGGGGGGGAAAAGGAGCAACATCCATAGCAAAAATAAATGAATAAAAATTGCAAAAAAATAAAATAAAACTAAAGTACTTTTAAACTTAATTCCACCAAGAATCATTGAGTTGTTTAAGAAAAAAAAAATCAAAAGCCCACACACATGCAAAAGCATCTTGATATTTTGTTTGTTTTCAATATTTAGCGATGCTGTATAGTGGGGGAAGGTCAGGGAATGTGCAGTCCTCCATTAAAACTAACTACTACTACATATTAAAATATTAAAACAGAATATCTGATACCTATCTGCGATTTGAGACAGAATAGATTACTTTTATAAGCATAAGCCTTCACGGACTACAGAAACAGCAGGAAACGAAGAGGGAGGAGTCTCTGCTGCTTACAGCTAGGCTGCCAGACAGCACAGAGAACTGATGGACAAAACTAGTACAAAAGGAAAAATAGCCAGCAAGGTCTCTAATCAGATGTTATTTACACTTCTAAGGTCTAGTTAATTGCTTCTTTAAGGAAAGCATAGTCTATGAAAGTATCACTTTCCACGACCAAAAAGGTCCTGTAAACACGTTTCCATGTGCATGTTTGGACGCTAAGCTTACTTGTTCACGTACCAGGCTGTGCCTTGATCACACCTGCACTTTGTCTGGATTCCATCCGTGAGCACACAATGTGTGTTATGCAACATTCATATACTGAAAACTGGTACTGGCACTTGTGAACTGAGAAATATTTTAGCCAAGGAGAAAAGTTGCCAAGCATGCGATTTAAAAGCAGTGACTTATTTTCCTAATAATAGTGTCTGACAGGAAATACCATTTCACTTAGACACATTTTCCATTCCAAGTTTGTGGGACATGGAAGGGGAAAACAGGAGCTTATGCAATGCAGATTCAGAGAGACACTTCTTAACCACATTTCCAGTCCTGAGAACCTGAACAACTCCCCACCCCGTCTTCTCTGTCCGAGGGCAATTTGGCTACCCTGTGGAAGTCACTGTGGGATAACACTTGGACTGGGCAGGAGCGAGAGGCGGGCCCAGCCGCTTCAGATATAGAAGAGGCCCTGGGAGGAACGCCTCTAAGTGCCATGGTTCATCACAGCAGCATCAGTACAGACATAATATTCCAAATATTACTCTGAAACCAAAATCCAGAGCTCTCCATGAGCAGGAAACTCTGGCAAAACTGGTCTAAACTGGGAAAATAAAAAACTTAAATATTTTTAGTTTTATAAATAACACAATGTAAGTACCTCCAAAACTATTTAAGTAAGAGCTTGAGCCATATTAATAAACAAAATTTTAAATAAGACAAACTAAAAGTCATTATTTTAAATGAGAAATAATATTCTCTATATTCTTTCTAAACAATAGGAAAAGAAAAACATTGTTACTATATAGTATTCCCTCCTAGACATGCTGATATTTTTCTACTGATAAAAAATTGCTAAAATAGAGTAAGGTAAGGTTTGGGGTCTACAATCACTTGTACTTGATCAAGTCGTTATCATCTCTGATCAAGGGTATCAATGGTGAGTTCAAAGGGAATCAAGGTTCACCTGACTTTTCTTTTCAAGTAACCAGTATATGAGAATACAAAAATCTAAGATTTATTTTATATGGTTAACAGAAGACAGAACCAGTAAAGAGAGAAAAATGTGCCAGAAGGCACTTCTGGCTTCAATACAAAGAATCCCTATCCACCACAGACAGGCCCCGTCCTGCGCTGGAGCCATGCAGGCTGACAGTGTTCACACTGCCTGTCCAGACTTGTTCTGGAGGGACCCCCAACCCGGGGAGGAAGATCCAGCTAGGTGACGGTTCCTACTTCTGCAGGTCTCTTCTCTGGCTCACCATGGAAAGGCATGATAGGCGGCTGCCCCGCCAGCCTGCACCTGGGAAGCTTCCTGACTGCCACCGAGGCCACTGGCTAAGCTAGCAGGTCAGAGCTTCCACCCCATTCAAGGCAGGAAGGGCCTCACATAAATAGTCAGTACAGGAAGGGGAGTGTGGAAGGGAGGAAGGGAGAAAGGAGCACTGGCGGATGCTCCTCCTGACCCCAGGGGTGACTGGTCAGCAGCCGTGTAGGAGGGCACATGGAAGAGAAACCACCCCTCTGCCCCACGCTAGGTTTCTTTCCTCTTCTTGCCCCGTGTGCCGGCTTCTCTCATCCTCCCAGCTCTGCTCCTCACAGCAGGGCCCCCCTACGTCAGCCACCCCTCCTCATCCTAGGCTGCACCCCATGCCCAGGTTCTCCTGGGAGGCAGGAGGAGGATGGTGTCCACAGGAATGAAGGCAACAGGAAAAGCCTAGGTTCCTGGTTTCCCACTTTGGCTAACACATTCCTTTGATATGTTTTTAGCTTTTTTAAATGTTTTTATTGATTTTTTTAGAGCCAGAGGAAGGGGGAGAGAGAGAGAGAGAGAGACATCGATGTGAGAGTGAAACATCGATTGGCTGCCTCCTGCATGCCCCCGACTGGGGATCAAGCCCACAACCCGGGCATGTGCCCCAACTGGGAATTGAACCGGGTCCTCTCAGTCCATGGAATGACCTCAATCCACTGAGCCATGTGGGCCGGGTTGATACATATTTTTAAAAGTTCTTAGGTCTATATTTCAGGTATATTAAGTGTTAAATTTTTTTCTGCTCTAGCCTGGGAAACCACAGCCCTTATATCTCTAAGTCTCTACAGGAAAATACTGAAACTCAACCAACTCAAAAACACTTTTCTTAAACCAAACTCTTCACCTCCCAGGGATCAGAGTAAGTGGGGCTAAACCTTGAGAAACTGTGGCCCCAAACAACTTCCTAGGTGGGCCCTGTTCCTGGACTTTTGAGGGACCAGTATGTGGGAACCCTTTCATGGTAATAACGTCTAATGCTGTGAAAATGGTAGTAAAAGGTACAGGGGGACCAGGGCAAAGACGACTGTGTTGGCAGGTGAATATTTGAACATTTAGAAGGCAACATGCTCCTTTACTCACAACCCCACTACCCTCTTCAGCAGGCTATGTCTTCTATTTCAACCTCTCTCACATGTGAGTATCTTTTACATGTCTTTATTTCTGCTGGTCTCCATCAGCAGGCTGAGGGTTATCAAGGGTACACAGACTTACATGAACAAGTTTACTTTCGGAGTCTGAGAACCACTCATCTAGAGATTCCTCCCAATGGACTAAGACACGGTGTACACAGTCAGTTTAGTTCTATGTACTACCTTGGACATTTATATTTTAGTTTCTCTCTTAATTCATCTGACCAAGTATTAACTTTGACAACAATCCTACATGTACCTGAGAGGACATTTAGGAGCTGTGGTTTTGTGTTTTGAGCAGGGAGAGAACAGGAAGGTGGGGGAGTCTCCCTCAACAGTGCCCAGACTCTGTCCACCTCATGGATTCCACCTCCCAGCATGTTCCTGGTATACAGCCGATACCTGATAGATGCTCACTGAAAAACTCCAGCAACCTCAAAGCCAGAGACAGGATCTCAAATGACATTTCATTCAACAGCTTCTTTACCAAGGTCAGACAAGGTCAGAGCAGCTATGGCCCCAGAAGACGTAGCTGCAATGCAGAACAATGTAAACGAATAAACTGGTACCAGGGATGAGCTTTGGTTTAGCTAAGGACTAAGAAATGCATTAGCTGAGAGTTTTGGAGATCAAGGCAAAGTTGGGGACCAAGCATTAAGGAGCCAGGAATCACAGAGAAGCCTAAGGTCAAGAAACATAATGGATAAAAGTAAGGCAGGCAGCCAAGAAGCAGAAATAATGTGCCAGAGACAAAGTGATATTGGGAAAGAAGTCCAGTCGACCTTAACTAACCACCAGAGGACCCCAGGACTCCAGGTTCTCACCGGTCCGCCCTCCAGGACTCTCACCTGTCCGTCCCACAGGTTTTCACCTGTCCACCCTCCAGGACACTCATCTGTCCGCCCTCCAGGACATTCATCAGTCCGCCCTCCAGGATTCTCACCTGTCCACCCTCCAGGACAGCAGACAAGCTGCTGGACTTGGCATTGCAAGCACAGTCTCTCTCTGCACCGTACAGCTCTGGCCACACACCTACGTCTGCCCTCCCAGTGCAAGCTGGGTGTGAGCCCTCTGTATAGATGTTACCAGGAAACTGCAGACTGGCTGCAGAGGAAGAAATGACAGTGTCTGCCTGGGAGGCCACTGAGTTTGGAAATAAAAGTAGAGTGTCCCACGTAGGCTGAATCAGAAGATGCAGAGAATGTGCTGGACACATGGACTTGTACTCTGCTCTAATTTTCTTTGGTCATGTGGCCTCCAGGGAAGCCACGGCAGCTCTGCACACCCTCTCCTCCTGGTTACTGTCAGGCGTGCATCTGGAGTAACTTCTTAACTGACACCCCCATAAGACAGTGCAGAGCTATGAAGTGGATTTCAGAATAAGATTATTATCATACAAAAAGCGGATGCCATTCTCAAACATGTCCTAGCACAGCTAAGTGTGGGCTATCACAGGGGTGGGTGATGTCCAGCCACCCAGGAGCAAAAGGTTCACACTGTTGTTGAGCTTTCTTAAGAATTAAATAACATTAATCTTCCTCTAGTGATTGAAAGATATTCCACATATATTGCCCTGGCCAGCATGGCTTGGTGGTTGGAGCATTGATTGGCCCGCACACCAAAGGGTCTTGGGTTTGATTCCAAGTGAAGGGCAGGTATCTGGGTTGTCGGTTCGTATGATCTCTGGCCGTGTTGTAGAAGGCAACCAAGTGATGCGTCTCTCACATCAATGCTTCTCTTTCTACCTCTTCTCTCTTCCTCTCCCCTTCCCTTCTACTCTTTCTAAAAATCAATGGAAAAAAATATCCTCTGGTGAGGATTAACAAAAGATATATCACATATAAATGAATATTTTAATTTAGTTAATGCACTTCTGATTCCTAAACCCAGAAAAGAGATGTTACAGCTGACTTTGGGCTCTGGGAAATGGCAGCCGCTTGCATGACTCACGGACTTGGGGCTAGGTCTTCTGAAGCCAGGGCCAGCTGACTGCCTCTGGAAGCCCTGACGGTCAAGGCGCTGTCTGGTGCTTGGGCACAGCAGGCCAGCAGCACTGCTGGGTGCCCTGGCTGAGGGACATCTGGGAGAATAAGGGAAGACTAGCATGAACCTATTTTGGATGATTCATAATGCTTTTAATTTTTGAAAATTACAAAGAATGTTTCACAGGTCATGGTGAAGAAACCATGATAAGTAAACACACCTGTGGGAATATCCACACTCAGTTTAACAACCGAGCTATGCTCAGGTTATCACTCATACATTACAGTATTGTGTGGGCTTTAAAAAATACAGCTGAACCCCACCCCACCCCCTCCACCCTGGAAAACCAAACAATCGCAATGGCAGGATGAGCAAGAAAAAATAGCCTGGAGCCCAGATGCTTTGGATCAGGTATTAAACAATGGGACAGATTAGAAGGAAGAAATCCAACGACACTGTGCAAAAGTGACCGATTCTGAGACTGAGGCTGGGAGGATGGTGGAAGAGAGAAATCCACTAAAGGAAACTTCCAGACGTCATGCCAAGGAGACACGAGGACTTTAGTTTGAAACTGCCGTCGATATTAAGGAATGGAAGGATTTGGGAACAGTCAGGTATGATAATGTTTTTATTTTTAAAGACATTGATTATTTTCCTAGGTATAAAAACTGCATTTACAGCCCTGGATGGTGTGGCTCAGTTGAGTGTCATCTCGGGCTCCTAAAGGTTGCTGGTTCGATTCCCAGCCACATGCCCGGATTGTGGGCTCCACTCCTGACCCACAGTGTGGTGTGTGTAGGAGGCAACCAATCAATGCTTCTCTCCCTCTCCCTAAAAATCAATTTTAAAAAGGTGCTCTTACTGCTCATTATAAAAATTAAGAAAGAAAAAGCACAAGAAGTTATTCATCCTTTACCACCCATAGATGATCATCAATTAGATATGTTTGTTTCAGGGTTTTTATCTGTTTGGTATGTATGGATTTTTTATATTTATTTTCAACTTCAAAAATATAATATTTCCTATTTTTAAACATCTACACAATATGTTGTGGGTTACAACGTATTTCAGGAACACTCTATTTTATTTTACGATTTCTCTTGAATCACAGCTCTACCTTTAATTTTACTATCACATTAAGTCTATGAACATCTCTGTGCACATGAGGGTTATTTCCTGATTAGATGAAAAACAAAGATCTTCTGAAAGCTAAACAATGCATATGCTGAATTGCTTCCCCCCCAATTTTTTTTTAATCCTCACCGGAGGGTATTTTTCTATTTATCTTCAGATAGAGGGGGAGGGAGGGAGGAAGAGAGAGAGAGAGAAGCACCAATGTAAGAGGGACACAACGACTGGTTGCCTCCCGCACAAACCTAACCAGGCCTGGGGACCAAACCACAACAGAGGCACGTGCCCTTGACCAGAATCGAACCCGAGACTCTTTGGTCCATGGGCCGACGCTCTAACGGCTGAGCCAAACCGGCCAGGGCAACTTCATAAAACTTCTTATAACTTTACTCTCACACTAGCAGTGGACAGGAAGGGCATTTCATCAGACTCCTGCCAACTCCGAGAAATGTATAGTTGCAGACTTGTATGCTGAACCATTAACTTAATCTTCAATGTCTACTTAGACTGGTCCTGCACACAAGACAACATGAAGGAGTGTGTGCTCCTAGTCTTCTTGGCTTTGTGCTCTGCCAAACCCCTATTTCGCCCTTCGTACGTGACGCTGAAGAATATGATGCTGAAGGACATGGAAGATGATGGTGATGGTGACGCTGCCAACTCTCTTTTCCCAACAAGAGAGTCAATTTACCCCTTCTTCCCATTTGATCTGCTTCCAACATGTCCTTTCGGATGCCAGTGCTACTCAAGAGTTGTACACTGTTCTGATTTAGGTAAGACCATGTCAGCTTGTTTTGGAGAATAATGTCATTCTGACAAAAGTGAATTTTTGAGAAGTATAACAAACCCCAAAGTACATGCAAACTTATTTAATTCTCTGCCGAATATTTTATTTTCTAATACTACTAATGAAGGAGTTCTCGAATAGAGGGCAGACACATGCCCTGCTCAAAAGGAGGGTGCGGTGGAAGTTTACATCGAGTTGCTGGATTCAGCTGTTTCCAAAAGAGGGGGTGACTCAGATGTGCCACACTTCAGGAAGCCACTTTCTGGCACTCACCTTCCCTTGGGCGGCCACTTACAGAGTACAAAGGAGCACACGCTGCCTCCTGCTACAGCATCTGTCATACTGGTCAAGCTTGTTACAGCCCTTCCCAAGGCGTTAGTATAGTGTGCTAGTAAGAGACACAGTGAGAAGTAGACAGAAGCATTCAGAAGAAGATGATGAGCCAGCATCAGTGGGGAAGTCTTAATGAATATCTCAGTTCGGAAAAGATGGCTATCAAGCTTTACCTTTGGCACTGCTGTGAAGGAGAGATGATCACACGCAGCAGTATTTGGGCACAGCTGGTCTGAAAGCCCAGGCACAGTGAGAGTGGGAAGAACAGCAGGAAGGAGAGGCAGCTTTGAGACAGACCCTGATGTGAGAAAAGGTTGTAGTTAGGGAATATCAGAAGGCACTGCCATTTCTAAGCTGCATCCCAGGCAAGAAACAACTCTAACATGAGAGTGCAGAGGGAGTATACATGAAAACACTTTGTAAAACAAAAGTCATGATAAGAATGTACGTATGTGCTTTGACAGCTGGATATAAACTGTGTGGGTTCAGGATATGCCAGTGACTAAGGAGATGCCAGCAGTGTCCTCAGCCATGGCCTTCGTGGCTGCTCCCCAGCACAGCCGTGCTTCTGTAGAGCACTCTAGAGGAAGCCCCGCACAGCTCGGCTCCAATATGCAGCTGTCAGCAAAGAGCAGAGAGACCACACCACTGCAAGGCAGACAGCCGGTTGCAAACAGTGTTTTCCTGAATATTTAGCTTATGAAATAAACTACTACTAAACGAAACTACTACTAAACGAAACCCGTACTAGCACATTTTTTTTCTTTCAATTTTTATTCTTTATTTATTTTTAGAGAGAGAGGAAGGGAGAGGAAGAGAGATCGAAACATCGATGAGAGAGAACATCAACTGGCTGCCTCCTGCATGCCCCCCACTGGGGATCGGGCCCACAACCTGGGCATGTGCCCTGACCGGGAATCGAACTGGCAGCCTCTTGGTACAGGGTCAATGCTCAACCACTGAGCCACACTGGCCAGGCCTGGCAGATACCCTTAAATGACACCTCTCCATTAGCAGCATACACCACACCTCTCCCATGACCACTGACAACGAAAAGGGTTTGAGTATTTGTCACTCTTTCTCCCTCAGAAAATGAAATTCTTTTCAGAGCCCCTAATTTCATCAGGGGCAGGGCAGGAGAAAGTTGGTCCAATTCTGTGTAACCAAGCCCATCTGCAGGACATTTGGCTTCCTGTAACACTTTCCCCTTCGTTTTCTCAAACCAAAACCATCTCCTAACAAAACAGCTACCTCACTAGTCTATCAAATTAGTAACCCCTTCCCCTTTTCCTGTCTATGGTCAAACTTCTCAAAGGTTATCAGTCTTAAAGTGCAGAGGAAAAGCTGTGGAGTGAGCTACTGAGAGTCACAACATACAGATAGTGAATTCTTCAGCCAGGGCTGTTCCAAATGCGACTACGCTTCAGGACTGAGGGTGGCTCCACCCAAAATGCACTAATATCTGAAACTCACTTTAACATGCATAAAAGATGAAATCATGGACAGTTACTCAAATGCTGATGGTAGAAAGAGAATATAGGTTTTCACTGTAAAATTCTTTCCACTTTCCACATGTTACCTTTGAACAGTAAAATATTGAGGAAACACCAGACCCCATATCCATCCAGCAGAACAGCTGTATGGGAAGTCTGACAACACGCAGAGGGGCATGTTTGGCCATCCAGGAAAAGCAAAAAAAGTAAGGCAGAAATGCACCATGTACAGCTTCTGGTAATTCTGCTCTTTTTTGTTTTTTAATTCAAGAGGGAACAACAGATTTTATTTTTAAAAGATATAATTAACATTTATTGAGTACCTATACAAAGAAGATTGTTTTTTTTCTTTTTTCTTTTTCCTCACTCGAGGACATTTTTCCATTTTTTGTTCAGATAAAGTGGGAGGGGGAGAGAGAGAGAGAGAAACATCCATGCGAAAGGTACACATTGAGTGGTTGCCACCCACACGACCCAACCAGGGCTGGGGACAAACTGCAACCAAGGTATGTGCCCTTAGTGGGAACCGAACCCTGGTCTCTCGGAACCATAGGCTGACGCTCTAACCGCTGAGCCAAACCGGCTAGGGTGAAGATTTAGTTTCTTAAAACAATCAGAACCCCAGGCTCCAATGTAGGGCCACCACATGCTGAAAATGCGCCAAGAACGTGAACGTTCCTCAGCAGGAAGTGTGCCAGCGGGAGCCGTGCCTCAGCTGCCTAGCAGGCGCGGTGCTGAAATCCACCCGTTTCACATCGTCCTGCAGCAGTGAGCAGTGACAGCTAGACCCATTGGACACCTTGTAAAAAGAAACTACTTGAAAAAGGTCGTTAGGCCTTTCCAAAAAACAACGGTTAGGTTATATGCACATGTTAAGTCACCTGTTACTTCATGGTAACCACAGACTTAGTATGTGCACCTTTCTAACACACCAGCACCCCTCCTCAGCATACAGGCATGTGTAACGTGTGATTATCTCTAACACACCAGCACCCCTCCTCAGCAGACAGCCATGTGTAACGTGTGTTTATTATTTCTCAGGTCTGTCCTCTGTCCCGAACAACATTCCACTGGATACTCGGATGGTTGACCTTCAAAACAATAAAATTAAGGAAATCAAAGAAAATGATTTTAAAGGACTCACTTCACTTTATGTAAGAATATATGCTCATATTTTCAAATATTAAAGCGAAAATCTCTATTACTGCTAAAATAATTACTTGTATTGTGTTCGTGTAAATAAGTCTTACTTTTCTGTGTGAAGAATGACAAAAGCCTGCTCTCTAGCGGTGTCCAGTTAATAGACTTGACCTGAAAAGTTATAGACTTGACCTGGCTGATGTTCACTGAACACAGCCAGGTGAAAGGCAATGGGCTGGGGATTAAGTGGATGGTTCTTAAATAAATTTATGATCTCTTTAGGTAATCACAGACACTATGCACTAAAATGAACACAATTATAATTATTTATAGGAAGTCTTTAGCAAACAGTATTAAGAAAATCTGTACTCAAACCAATTTATTTATCTGAAGACATCACAAATGTCTAACAGTAGCACATGCAATATTCTCTGACTAATATATATTTGCATGTTTTTGTCCCTAGGCCTTTAAAGATGAAAAATACATTTCTTTACTGTATTTATTAATATTTTAATTTTCTAAGATTTAAATGATTTTTATTTCTCTTTTTAACATTTTGAGCCTGTAGATTTTAGCAAGTAAAGTTCTAATTTGGCATTAAGCTGGGGGAGCCTGACTCCATGCTGCCACAGGCACTGGGGATTCAGCACGGTAGTCAGCCAACATTGCTCTTCCGGGACGTTCTCCACAGTCCCACACTGTGTCGGAGAGCAGAAATGCAAAACTTGTCAACTGCAGTGAGTTACAGAGAAGGTAGAGGCAGCACAGCCACATGTCTCTTGCTGCCACGGAGCACACCTTGTTATCCTCCTTTAGCTGGAAGATGTGGGGCCACTCTGCCCGCCTGGTGCCCTCGGGTCAGTGCGTGGACCCCACTGCCCCATCCCAGCAGGTAGGAAAAGAGGACTGAGTCCCAGCATGCAAACCAATGCCTGTGTATCGGCGGGATGAGCAAACCAACCAGGCTGATTGTGTTCTAGACACCAAGAGAAATGCTCTTTTTTTTTTTTTTATTCCTCACCCGAGGACATTCTTTTCCATTCTTTGTTCGGATAGAGTGGGAGGGAGAGAGAGAGAGAGAGAAACATTGACGTGAAAGGGACAATCGAGCGGCTGCCATCCGCACGACCCAACCAGGGCCGGGGACAAACTACAACCAAGGCACGCGACCCCAGCGGGAACCAAAGCCGGGTCTCTCTGGACCGCAGGCCGATGCTCCAATCACTGAGCCAAACTGGCCAGGGCCGAGAGACACTCTTTACTAGGCTCTCTTGCTCAGTCCTTACACCAAGCCTGCCTGGGAGGGTGGCACCGAGGGAGCCAAGTCATTCCTTTCTCTGCACGTCCAGGCATCTGGGCTCGTGAGGCCTCGACTGCTCCCTTCTTTCAAATGTGCTGTGCAGACAGCCCCACACATACCATAGTTTCCAATTATGAATGGAGGGGGAGTCTGCAGAGCATATATTTATCCTGTAGCACAGGCTTCCCTTAAATATTAAGACGATCAGAAATACAAATGGCACAGTGGATTCAATCAAGGATCCTTCTTGTCTACCCTATGCACTCCAGACCACAGAAACTTTTGGAGAATGGCAAGGCCATAAGTCTACCCTCATCAGTTGGAAATACAGCCTATGAATGCTTCTACCACTACTTCAACTTATATATAGCTATATAACCACAAGAATAATTAACATCATATTTAATACCAAAACCATAAGAAGTTTTCAGTTTTATTTGTCATAACATTATTTATTACACTTTAGGAATATTCCAGGAACTTATTCTGTATGTATTCCTGCTTAATCATTGGGAAATGAGAATCACAAAGGTGACAGGAGCTGCCTTAGGCCTCCTTAAGTTTTTTTTAGTCAATGCCATTGTACTGGAGAGTGTTCTAGAGGCAGGCAAAACTGGGCTCAAATCCTGTCTCCACCAGAAGTACACACTGGAAGGTAGCTTACCGCTCCGAGCCCAACCTTCTCAGATGTAAAAGGGGTGTAAAACCAGCATGGAATTCAGAATACTCATTTAGACTAGACGACTGAATACCTGTAAGGTGCTCAGCACACAACCATTAGCTATTATTGCCACCAGCCTAGTGTTTCCAAACTGGCCAATGTACTAAGTAAAGTACTTTTCAAAGCACATACTTTATACTTGAATTGTGGGCATATTGTATATTTCAAAACATTTATTTAATTATAGTATCACTGGTATCTGTCTTTAAATAGAGTCAAACTGTTTTTTAGATACTCTGTACATTCTCTGTATTTCGTTTTAGCTGCTTGTTCAGCATTGTAGTTCCTACCAAAGGATGACACAGCACCAGAGAATGGGTGAGATGGTCACGCACACTCACAGCTCACTGCCAGCCCATAGCACAGCCACATGCACATTGGCCTACTTCTACAAGGCCACACTCTCCTCATCTTCTGTCCTGACATAGAACTACGTGGTTTGGGCTCTGTGACGGCACTTTTGGAATTACTACGTAGAACCCAACACAAACTGCGGCTTGCCTGGACACAGTCTGCCCACCCAGCTAGGAGGGGCACATGGGACGGCACTGCAAAGAAACTCTTGTCCCATTGTGTACTACTTACACTTCCTTTTATGAAGCTCTGACAACTATGTCTTAACCAGAGAGGGAAAAGCAAACCCCAGAAAGGACGCATGGAGCTGACGGAGGCACGCACTCCCCGCAGCTCTTTCAGAGGCAGACCCAGAAGTGCAGTGTGGAGGGCAGAGGGGCCACACTGGAAAAGCCCCTCTCGTCACTGTGCCCATTTCCTCATCACCAAAAGGAGAGGAGTGCCTTTTGCTAATCTGACCTCATGGGATAGAGTGAAGGTTCATCGAGTTGTTACCTCCCCAGGCCTGACCCCATATTGCAGTGTAACAAAAGGAAATTAAGAACAGCCCTGGCTGGTTTGGCTCCGCGGTTGGAGCGTCGGCCTGTGGTCCAGAGAGACCCGGGTTCGGTTCCCACTAGGGGCGCATACCTCGGTTGCAGTTTGTCCCCGGCCCTGGTTGGGTCGTGCGGGTGGCAGCCATTCGATGTATCCCTTTCACATCGATGTTTCTCTCTCTCTCCCTCCCACTCTATCTGAACAAAAAAAAAAAAAAAAAGGAAAGGAAATAAGAACAAACTCTTAGTTGGCATCACACATTCAGAAAAGAGTACATTGTAGCATTTGGTAACAAATGCAGTTTCACCTTTCCCAGGTAAAGGTGAGCAGTACTGCAGGTCTGAAGGAAGGGCAGGGAGGGGCGGCACGTGCCTCCGGGAATGAACACATGTGACAGCAAAGGGAGTGTGACTGTCAGAGGATTTATTTCGGTTTCTTCTGTGCAATACCACAACATGAATATCAGCAGGACGCACATCAGTTCAGTGTGGAGACCAGGAGAGGCCGCTGTAGAGTGGGACCAGGGACAGTACCATAAAGGAATGATCTAGAGCTGCCCCCTGAAAGAACCCAAGGGTCTAGATGAGGAGAGAGGGACACAAGTCCTAAGGGACACAAGTCCTAAGGAACACTAAGCCACCTGCCACCGTCACCCTGGGGAAACACTCTTGCAAATCTGGCAGTGAACAATGTACATTTTGAAGTGAAAATAATTACTAGGGTGACTGACAAGTACAGTTGCCAAGGACCGTCCCAATTTTGGTTCTGAAGTCCCCACAGGGGTCTGGCTGTGAAGAACTGCTCCCAGTTCTTTTACTCACAGCGGTTGCTGTCTCCTGTAAGGTGCTACCATGTCATGCTGAGCATGAAAAAGGGTGGAGTCATTCCTCAGGACCCACTCCTGTGGCCCCAATGTCTGAAATACATCTGAGGGCACACGATAGGAGTTTATTCTGACAGGTCTGTATTCTAGGATTCATGGTAAACATTGGGAAACATGAAAGAAGAGAGTTAAACTTAACTTTGCAGAGTGCACAAATTTCCAGGTAAGATAAAGATACTACTACTGACCACTTCATAAAGGGAAGTGGACACTGGAGGGAACCTCCACCATTGAACACATCACCTCCTCAAGATAAACCGAAGGCACAAAACCAATCATTAAAACTTTGCATTTTCCCAACTCAGTAGTAAACAGATACAGTTTAGATTGGGCTGAGGAATCATGTACATTGTTAATGAAGAATAGAGAATGATGTAACTTGCACTGTTTTCATGAGTGACAACCACTGAACAGCTTCCTAATACAGTGTAACTTTCTATGCTTCATCTAGGCTCTGATCCTGAACAACAACAAGCTAACAAAGATTCACCCAAAAGCCTTCCTAACCACAAAGAAGTTGAAAAGATTGTATTTGTCCCACAATCAACTGACTGAAATACCACTTAATCTTCCCAAATCATTAGCAGAACTCAGAATTCATGAAAATAAAGTTAAAAAAATAAAAAAGGAAACATTCAAAGGAATGAATGCTTTACATGTTCTGGGTAAGTTTTTCCAAATAAATGAGACATTTAGAAACTGTAAGTAATACACAGAAGCAGAGATTTTTATCATCATTAACAATGACTGATAATTTCTAAAAAAAATTTGAATCTAATATTCTTTACCTAGATAAGCCATCTACAAATCAACTAAAATACTGAAATTTACAGCGCTGAAAGATGCGTTTTATAATATCCATACACCCGTTCTCAAGAATCCTCTCCAGTACCTAGTGTGGTTTCTGTTTTCTGACTGCCCCCATAATCAGTAACATCTGTTATTAAATTTAAAGGCACCATTTTTAATATATTGTACAAACAACTCAAATACAGTATAGAAAATTAATTCAGATACTGTGTGGAAGGTACATTAAATTTTTTATTATCTGCTTTAGATCACTGAGCTAAGGAATTTGTAGGTGTATTTTAAATTCCACCCTATTTTCCTTCTTTCTAAAAGCCATGGAAAAATCATGCCGTCTCCCCCTACAATATCCATTTATTCTCATTCATTTATTCACTTATTTAATTCAACCAAGTACCTGGCACTTTACCAAACAGTGTTGTCACTTACTGGCATTTCCTCAGTTATTTTTCTGTTAATCAAGTAACAATTTCTAACTGACTTATAATTTAAAAAGTTTAGGTAACTCATTAATGTATACTGGCAAACACAAACATCTTGAATTATATGAAAGCTGGTCTTTTTTTCTAACATAATATTACCACAGTGAATCCTTGATCATGCTTATGGTTGGAAGAGAGTGACGTTATTGATTTAGTAATTCAAAGCAAAATAGTAAATCTGTTATATATTTCAACCTGTATAATACAAAGCAATTGTTTTCTGAGACTGGCAGAATGGTGAGTAAACAGATACAGAAACAAAGACAAGAGTGAACTAAGAGTCTGAGTAGTGCTCCTGCTTCCTGGGATGTGCACTTCTGTACTGCACGTTTCGTCTTATACAACAAACATCTGCTCAGTTATGTCATTTCCCTCCACAGAAATGAGTGCAAACCCTCTCGACAGCAGTGGGATCGAGCCAGGGGCCTTTGAAGGGGTGACAGTGTTCCACATCAGAATTGCAGAAGCTAAACTGACCTCAATTCCTAAAGGTTTGTGTTCACTTTATTTAAGATAAAGTATTTGTTTAATTGCTATCCTTAACTATTAAATGTAATGTAATATAAACTGTAAACACTACACTGTAATTAGAATCCTTTTTACCAGGGTATCCAGTCAGTGTAGAATAAAATTGAGTGTTTTCTCATGGACACCATAAAGAGCCATAGGTAGTACTTTTTTTTTGGTCAGTATGAAACCAGAATCTTTTTTCCCTCAGTGAGAACAAACATTCAGAAGAAATAAACGCCTAATTTCCCTTTTCTCTTCTGATATGTACACATCTATACTCTGTCATTCTGAGGTACTGTCATGGCTGAGAATTTTGTAAAGAAGCATAGGACAATGCACAGGCCACAGACTCCTGCTCCAGCCTGCAGCAATGGTCTGGGGGCTGGCCCCGTGCACAGGCTGGGATAGACACTGGCCCTGGCAGGGCTGAGTGTGAACTTGGGCAAGGAGCTTGTTTGATCCTTCACAGGATGCTGTGCAGAATAATGAGCCAGTACAGAGAGGTCTGAGGACAAGGTGGAAGATCTGGTCAGCACCTTCTCTGACATTAACTGTCACCAGAATGAGCATCACACTCTTCATCATGTGGTCTAAAGCTCGCAACTCAAAGTAAATCGCTTCTTAAGTTCAATGCAGGACCAATTTGCTAATCATCATTCTGAACTCCAGTCTGAACTCACCCAGAAGGGCTGCCTTTCTCAGTACCCAGGCTCATTTTCTCTCTCCTCGTCCCTGACAATGGCATGTGCCCTCGCTCCTCTGATGACTACTTGGATCAGAAATACCTCCCACGGTTGAGAACATTTTTTTCTTTCACTTGGCCCTGTCTTTCAACATCCACAGTAAAAGCAGAAACTTCACCATAATCCTCTTTCTACTACCCACCTCACCCAGGAAATTAATGAAACAAATATAGATGTATCATTTAAATAATACACAGAGCTTCTATTATTAAAGTAATGATCTTTCACTCAAAAGAAAAATCACCTAAAGTAAAAGGGGAAGCAATTTTTTCATACAGAAAAAGCCAGTTTAATTCAGAACTATACAATTAAATGACACCCTAATTTAGCATTCAAGAATATGGCTGTTTTTCTAAAATGTTACACATATTTACCTTCTCATATTTAGAACAACAAAAATACAGTCTACCTAACAAGTTAGATACACGAAATCTCTTCCCTATGCTGGAAGCCAACAGAGTGAGAGGGAGCAGGAAGGGACAGGATAGTGCAGACAGTGGGGTGCTCTGGGAGAGGAGGGTGTGGCTCAGACACCCCGAGATTGTCATGCTCTTTACATTCACACCAGCAGCCTTTCTGTGCTGCAAAACATACTGACTGCAACTCACTTGAAGTTTCAAAGTGTATCTTTAAAATGAAGGTTTAACTATTTCAAGATTCTTCTAAAACCTAAAAGATTTTATGTCTTTAGTAATTTAAATTGGAGTAAAAAAATCTCTCAATTACGTAACTATTCCTTTGAGATCCCTAAAAAAAACCAAACAAACAATAACAAAAAGTTAATTTTTTTTTTATATAACTTATTTGCTAAAATGTTAAGGCTAGCCCTGGCCAGGTGGCTCAGTTGGTTAGCATGTCATCCCCATATGCCAAGGTTACGGTTCGATCTCTGGTCAGGGTACATATAAGAAGCAACCAATGAATGTATGGATGGATGAGGCAACAGATCTGTGTCTCTCCCCGCCCTCTCAACCCCCCACCTAAAATCAATTAAAAATTTTTTAAAAATTAAGGCTGACTGCCAAAATGTTATACTTCAAGCACTGCTTCCCTTGTAGCAGAATGAACTAGGATGAGAGTCCTTACCAGACCTGCCAAGTTAACATAGAATGGAAATGTTTTCCTTCTTATTCATTTGGAAAATTCTTCTTCACAATAGTATTGTGTAGAGGGGAGGAGAGACTTGTTGGAAGATAGGGTAGGAATAGAAATATCTGCATAAAAGTATGTGAATATGTGTTGGCAGTCAATGAGCTTCTACCCAAATCCATACCTTTGCTCACTTAGCCTAGTGAGGTTATACTTAATTCTGGTCATCCACCTTTTCCAGGCCCTAAGGAGAAGTCCCCTTAAGTTCTACAGACCCAAGAAGTTTCACTGACAACATGAAGAGCTCTCTCTCTCTTCTTTAACTTGCTATAACCTAGTCTAGAATAGGCTGGCACACTCTGAAATTTTTCTAGTCATTGTTGTATGCATGATGGATTTGCTCAACTAATACAAAAAGAACACTTTTCTCAACTAGCTAACTAGAACCTTTGGTTGGCAAATAATACTTTACATTTTTAATACTAAGTATTACATATAATACCAGGTCTGACATAGGACTAATAAAATAAAATCTGACTGAATTTTCTGGTTACTCTCTTATATTCCTGCTTCGGTTAATCCAGGGAGGTCTGAGGTCAGCACACAGAGGTTTAAGGAGAAGAGAAGGTGCAAACATTCACAGAGTACCAGCCATGTTCCAGGTGGCGCTGGCAGATTAAGAAATTAAGAGATACTTCTCTTATGCAGAAACTACTACTATTTGAAAATAATAAATACTGCAATGGACCAAACATATCAAACAAAGTAAAACTCCATGTATTTGTAGTGATATTTTTAAAAAAAAAGAAAAAAAAAAATTGCCCTGGCCGGTTTGGCTCAGCGGTTGGAGCGTCGGCCTGCGGTACAGAGAGACCCGGGTTCGGTTCCCGCTAAGGGCATGTACCTCGGTTGCAGTTTGTCCCCGGCCCTGGTTGGTTGTGCGGGTGGCAACCACTCGATGTGTCCCTTCACATCGATGTTTCTCTCTCTCTCTCTCTCTTCCTCCCTCTCCCTCCCGCTCTGTCTGAACAAAAAATGCAAAAATGTCCTCGGGTGAGGATAAAAAAAAAAAAAAAAAAAATCACTAGTCACCTCTGGGAATTTGTACTAATTCATTTCTTTCTTTTTTTAAAAATATTTTTCTTTATTGATTTTTGAGAGAGAGAAAGGGAGAGGGAGAGAGAGATAGAAACATGGATGAGAGAGAACATCAACTGGCCACCTCCTACATGCCCCCCACTGGGAATGGGCCCACAACCTGGGCATGTGCCCTGGCCAGGAATCGAACTGGCAACCTCTTGGTGCATGGGTCGACACTCAACCACTGAGCCATACTGGTCAGGCGGTACTAATTCATTTCTTGAAAGAATCAGGCATTTATGCTGCTTTTTCTGTAAAACTATTACATAGTAACTAAATAATTAATAAAGGAAAATTCTTTAGAGAAGAATTCTACCTAATAAATGCTTAAAGAATGGTAAAATCAGGAAAATCATCATGTTCCCATTCATAATGAAATAATGAACCTAGCAGTCATCAGTGAATGCTAAGACCATTGGGTGAAAGGGTGATCTGAGTCTAATCTAGTCTGTCTCTGAATCTAACTACTAGGTCCTAAGAAATAAGGAGGCTAGAGGACCATGATAAACTACCTTGTGGAGGCCATCAGCCTCACCCACAAATGCATATCTCAAACAAATCAATATCTCAAACAAAGCAATAGAAGAGGGAGAAAAGGAGGAAGAATGCAATAAGAACCAAATAAATGTACTCTGTAAACTTTAATAGGATCCCAACTTGAATTAATCAACAATATATTTGGGATCATTAAGAAAATAAATATTAGATGATAGTAAATAATTGTTACTAACTTTGTTAGATGTGATATTGGTTATATAAACAGAAGATGACTTTATGAGTCAGCGCTATCTAGTGAAGTCTTAACAGGTAAAATAACATTATGTATAGAGTTTAATTTTAAATATGCCAGCAAAAAACAACTGAATAAATAAAAACAAACAAATTGTTTTTAATAATTAATAATCAGGGAAGGGAGGCTAGGGGACTGGGTAAAAAAGGTGATGGGATTAAGCAAAAACAAACAAAAATCTGACACAGACAACGTTGTGGTGATCACCAGAGGGCAAGGGGGTGGGGAGTGTAAGAGGGAAAAGGGGGTAAATGGTGACAGAAGAAAGGAGACTTGACTTTGGATTGTGAACACACAATACAATACACAGATGCTGTATTATAGAATTGTACAGTTGAAACAGACATAAATTTATTAACCAACGTCACCCCAAATATTTAATTAAAAAATCAATAATCAATAACTATGGGATAGATGAAACAAGACTGGAAAAATTAAGATAGTTGTTGAAGCTTGACAACAGTTGATGGTTCATACCAGCTTTCATTTTTATGCATGTTTGACACTTTCCCTAATAAAGCTTTTAAAAAGTAGATTCCTAAAAAATTACCTATGAAGAGAAATTAAACAAGTGGGGCTCAATCTTACCTGATCTAACATACATTTCTTTCTTTATCATTAGAACTACCGTCAACTTTATTAGAGCTTCATTTAGACTCTAATAAGATTTCAACTGTGGAACTCGAGGATTTTAAACGATACAAAGATCTGCAAAGGTAAAAGTTCCTCTAATCCTTACTTACAAGTGGAAGTCTGTATGATAGAGATATTAACGGAATTTCCTGGAGAATGTGTATAGGGACCCACTCAAGATTATCATTGTTGCAACTGCAGAGTGTGAAGGCAAAGCTGGGTGGAACTGCTATTGTTCTTGGTTGTGTTTTCAGCAAACTGTACCACACCATCTGCTTAAGAGTTGATGAATTTTATATCATTTTTAGGCTGGGCCTAGGAAACAACAAAATCACAGAAATCGAAAATGGAAGTCTTGCTAACATACCACGCATAAGAGAAATACACTTGGAAAATAATAAACTAAAGAAAATCCCTTCAGGATTACAGGAGCTGAAATACCTCCAGGTAAAACATTCTACTTGTATTTTGTAGATATTAGTACTTTTCTTTCTTTTTACGAAATGTATTAGTACCTAAAGTAAAGACCAAGGGTAATGTGGAGAGCAGTAGCAAGGGTAATGTGGAGAGCAGTAGCAGCATGGGTTCCATGGAAATATCAGCTGAAACACTCAGGCACCAATTCTATCCTTCTCTTTCTCTTGCTGAAACTGCTAAGGCCACTGTGGCAGAGGCATCGCTAGGATCAGGTCCTGGGATGGCCATGGCTATGTAAAGGCAGTGGACTGGTCAGGAGGAACCCAAGTAGGACCATATTCTTTCACTCTGGAAACATTTCATGAAGGCAGACCATATGGATGAGGTCCTAGGTATTTTCACTACCAATGTGGCGCTAGGTTAGAAGTGTATATGCTTTTATAAAAATTCAGGCCAGAACATGAAGTCAAAAGCCAGTCTTTGGAATATCATAGATTCACATTTCTTATTCTTCATTACTAGAAATCTTTTCGCTCTAATCTGGCAACCCCTGACTTAGCTGGGAGGAGACACAGAGCCCTTGGAGAATCTCATAAAGATCTTCCCGAGAACAAAAATGAAGGCATTATTTTGCACATAATTTTAAAATTTCACAGATCTCCCTGATTCTCATCTATGGACCTCAAATTAGGCATCCCTGTTTAACCTCATTTCACTTTAGTCCATTTTCTCATTTACTTTCCTTGTTATACAATGTTCTCATCTTCCAAGAGGCAAAATCATGTCGAGAACAAGGCTGGGCTTTGAGCTACTTGCTTCTAGATTTCTTTCCTATTTATCCTTAAACAGGCTTTGTTAACTACACTCCTTTGAGATACAAGACATCCATGTGGATGTGTTACATGTTTATCTCAAGGTATGCTTTGACTTTTCAAATGCTACATTTAAATGTCTACTGTTAACCAGTGAGCACCACCTGAGTCTCCTCTCTAGAGCTGTCCCATCTTTGCATATATGACTCCACAACTCTGATCCCAGCTTCTGGGAGTTCTTACACCTACCCATACTCTTGCAAGCATTAAAAAAAAAAAAAAGGATTATAACACAAACAAGGAGGAACACAGCCATGATGGTACAAGCCAATGAATGCCCACAAACAAACAGACTCGTGTGCAGCACATCCCCACTTCCCAGCGAGGCCAGTGCTGCGGCCAACTGCACCTGCACCTACAAAGAGCCAGGGAAATGCCTAGGCATCTCAGAAGGCACCTGGCACAAAACCCATGAGGCAGAGGCAGGAGGGACACCAACACCAAACCTACAGGTTTTGGCAATGCCTCGAATTCTCATGACTGGCTCAGATCACTCTCACCAATCGGAAAGGCCAAAGAAGGAATTTAAAGGGATGATCAAGGGAATGAAGGGAAGTTTCTATATTGTCCATCCTGAGTAATAATTTAATTTAAAGACATATACAAAGCCTATAAAATTGTATTTTGTTCACCAGTACAAATAAAGATTCAGCTGTTGATGATGTATTACAGATATGTACTTAAGATGTCAAAAGACATATTTTTTCTGTAAAATAACTTACAAAAGAGCAGCTCTACACCTCTCTCCCTTGATCACAGAAAATACTGACAATTCTTCACATTCATATTGCAAGCCTAATTCTTAAAGCATTCAATCTCATTCTTCTGCTCATTTCTAACACTTTTAAAACACATTACTGTATATCTGGCACTGAAGTGACCCCCCCCCCACACACACACAGATGTGCAGGGAGAGTGCTCTAGGCCCCGGCATGAGTCCTATACCATACTTTACACACACAGCTCTTCTGTATGTAACACAGGAGTCTGAGTAGTTAAATTAAGTACTTTACAGGCATAAATGAGTGCATATATTTTAAGTGAAATACATTCAAATCAGTGTAAAATAAACCCAAGAACTATAGAGTATTTTCTTTTTACATTTACTGTGTTTTTTAAACCCATCTTTTTTCCTACTACAACAGATAATCTTCCTTCATAATAATTCAATTACAAAAGTGGGAGTGAATGACTTCTGCCCAACGGTTCCAAAGGTGAAGAAATCTTTATACAGTGCCATAAGTTTATTCAACAACCGGATGAAGTACGAGGAACTGCAACCTGCAACATTTCGTTGTGTTTTGGGTAGAATGAGTGTTCAGCTTGGGAACTTCAGAAAATAATAATTAATAATATCCATTTAATATAAAATTTAAAAATTATTACAGTTGGGATACTTGAACTCTATTAATAATGGTGGTTTTATGCTCAGAAGCAAAAATCTATTCCCACGTGGTACATTCAGTGACTTACTTTAGGACAAAAAAATTCATCAGAATTTTGCAAAACTATTGATACATCAGAATTCATAGAAACAAGCATCGATTGCAGTTTTCTTTTGCATACATACGATTGTGCATAAATCTCATGCTTGAATATTCGTTCTAAAAAAATAAGTCAGTATTTAACCCTTTGTTATCAAGTATATTTTAAAGAGAACTGTACTGTAATAGAATGCTTGACTTGGCAAAATCTGTGCTTTCATTTGCTGTTAAAAAAACAAAATTGACAAGGACAGTGATATGAAGAGTACAGTATATACTATTCCTATTCTTTCTTTAATAACTCTGGTAGTACTACAGTATTTCTCACAAAGTTAAAGTATGGTTTGATATAATCTTATTCAAATTCTCATGTCTTAGAGCCTTACTGTCTTCATGTTTAAAACTAACCCTTTATAACAAACCTTTGGCAAGTTCATGACCAACTCAACAGATGCTGTTCATAAAACTGGTTTTTGAACAACAGCACCTGCTTTTCTTTTTTAATTATTATTACTCAATTACAAAACCTCTATGAAATGTGTAGTGAGTGTTTATATAAAGTCTGTAACTCACGTACTTTATTATCACAGTTATTATAAGCTTCTAGCAGGATGTCAATTGTTAGGCTATGTAACGTTGTCACCTCAACACTAAGGAGTATTTTCAGGGTGTCCGTCTGTACAGCCTTGGTTGGAAGCCTGGAAACTCTGAATTCTACACCAAATTGTGACCTCAGGTATGCACAGACTGGATAATTCTGGAAAACACACCTGGTATAACTAAATAGGCAGAGCATTAGATAAAACATAGAGGCAAAAGCTCTGAATAAAAGTTAAGAGTACTTTATTCATTTTTTATTGGCATTCAACATAAGTTAAGTAAAACTAGAAAATTAGGAAAACATTAAAATATTGGTTTGAAATAAAACTTTTGTGCTTTGGTTTCATTTTTTTTCACCCACCCAGGAACTATTTTTCAGAAAATTTGAGTTTATATATGACATATTTAGCATAGTACTAATGCTTATTCTTTTTTTTTCTATTTAAATTTTATTTTTCAGTTACAGTTTACATTCAGTATTATTTATACTAGTTTCAGGTGTATAGCATAGTGGTTAGATAATAATGTGTAATTTAAAAATGATCCCGTTATTTCCAGTACCCCTCTGAGACTTTACATAGTTATTACATATTATTGACTATTCCCTATGATGTACTTTACATCCTCTTGACTATTTTATAGTAATGCTGTTTGTAATAACAGTACTGAAATACTCCTAATCATGCCTGTTGTAGAAAAAATAACCACTTCTATGTTAAATTACCTCAGAAATCAGATTTTAAATAATTTGAGGAAAGTAAAAAACATTACAGATATATAAGAAGGGATCTGGAAATGCAGGTAAAGAGGGCAAACAGGTCTTGTTCTTCCTGAAGAGATTCCCCAACTTCAGCTCCACTGACACTCTGGGCTGGATTGCCCCTGGGGGGAGGGGCACCTGCAACCCCAGCCCACTGTACACCTGAAACTAGTATAAATAATACTGAATGTAAACTGTAATTGAAAAATAAAATTTAAATAGAAAAAACGCTAAGGCTGAAACTATCTAGCAAACAGATCAGTCTATGATCTGAGCAGTCTATGATCAACAATTTCTCCCGATATTTGCCAGTGTGTGTGTGTTGGGGGAAGTGGGGGGGGGGGGTGTAGGGTTAGGGTGGGGCTGGTTGAGAACAACTGCTTTATAGAAAATTTACTTAATTTCTAAGACCAGCTATGTTTGTTTGGTAAAATTATAGCGATGTACAGAGAGCCCGGGGATATAGAGCTCTGAGTTGGAATGACACAACCAGAGACTCAGTTCCATTTACAGTCTTAGGCAAAGCACAGTCTCTCTGAAATGGTCACCTCACCTGCAAAGGGCAGGGTGACAATGCTGACTGGTTATGTCGCTATAAGAACTGAGTAATACAAATGTATGTGAAAATGCTTTGTAAACCATAAAGATCCCTAAAACCCGAGTAATTATTATACTGGACAATTACTGACTGACAAGGTTATGAAGTCCTTAAAAATAAAAGAATACATTACAATGACAATCACTCTAAAATTCAAATATTCTAAAGTTCCAATAGTTTTAATGAATAAAATACATTTCCTACAATATATCATAAAAATAAAACTGATATCATGGCACTTAATAAGAACATAAGTAAAGTAAAAGTTCACTGAAATTTTAAGAATACAGTTCTTAAAATTAATAACTAAATTACTAAGTCTAATGCTAAGGCTGAAACTATCTAGCGAACAGATCAGTCTATGATCTGAGCAGTGGAGCTCAGAGTAGCTAAGTTAATCTTCCTCTAAAAGGAAAAGACAAAAAATGTTACATTCTGGAAATGATTCCTGAAATCACTGCAATTTATTTCCCCTAGTTAATGTTTCTGTTTTTCTTTTCACAATTGTTAATCATTTTTGGTTATAATTTTACAAAAATCAAATCACTTATAAAAATCATAAACAACCAAAACTGCACTAAGGTTTTCTGCTATATACACATTTTTTTTAAAATATGTATTTTTATTGATTTTTAGAGAGAGAGGAAGGGAGAGGGAAAGAGAGATAGAAACATCAATGAGAGAGAACATCGATGGGCTGCCTCCTGCATACTCCCACTGGGGATCGGGCCCACAACCGGGGCATGTGCCCTGACCGGAAATCAAACCAGCGACCTCTTGGTGCATGGGTCGACGCTCACCCACTGAGCCACACCAGCCGGGCAGCTATAAACCCATTTTATGATAAATACAAAGTACTACCCACTTGAAATCCATTAAAGTTTGAAAACAAACTTTTACAACTTACTTGGTTTATGAAGGATATTAAGGTGGAAAAAAATCTCAGTGACCATCTATCTGTATTTTCTCTAAAATAATACAATCAAAAATGATCACTGAATTCATGAAACAACCAATACTTTTAGAAAAGTCCTTGAAGTTGGTAAAACTAACAGTATTTTAAAAATCAATTTTGTTCTTCCTTAAATTATTACATAATTTCTGTCCTTCACAATTCCATCTTTTTTGTTTTTAAGGAATTGTCTTACCTTGGTCTTAATTATCTCTCTACTCACATGGTCCATCACCCATTGCAAATGACATAATTCTCCTAAATCTATTTCCCCAAAATCATATTGTATGAATAATATCAAACAATAAAAACTGGTGTTTAAAAATAATATTTTCAGACACTTTTCCAAATGCCTTACTTGCATTACATTCATTTAATCCTCCCAATAAACCGTGTGTGTGTGTGTGTGTGTGTGTGTGTGTGTGTAAACTGAGGAACAAAGATTAAAGAACTTGTGGCAGATCTAGGACTAGATCCAACTCCAAGCTTTAACTGCGATGACACACTGATTTTTCAATCAGTGGTTGTCTTTATAAAATGATGTACAGTACTTCCTTCTGGAGACTTTACTTACGTGGCTTTCACACACCACAGCTTTCGGGTTGCTCTATTGTGGCTAATATTCCCAGTGTTCTCCTCCTTTTGGCTTCTTTTCTCAGACCCCTGGCAGTCTCACTCATTTCTAAGCATTCAAGCCATGACCTCTGAAATCTGCCTCTCCAACGTGGCCCTCACTTGGCAGTAGCAAACTCTCAAAAGCAAATCCAAACGTTTGGATCTGTAAAACTCAATCCAAATCAACATCACAAACAAGTCTCCTTCAAACTCATGCTGCCCCTCTCGACCTGTTCTTCCCCAATTGTTGGGGTTTATTCCTGACCCTGGCTCCTTTGCAGCAGCTGGGCCAAGTCCCGCCCTAACTCCCATGCGGCTGGCATCCATCCCTTCGTTTTCATTCTCTCTCACTCTCTCACCATCACTTTACCTTCTGGTGGAATTATCAAAATTGGTTCCTGGCCACTTTCACCAGCCCAGCTCTAACATCACCAACCGAACAGATCTGCATGCGATCTGGATTGATTAGGCATGGAAAGCCCACAATAGTTCCTGTTCTTTGCTAAATTACAAAAATTCTTAACCTACCCTTCAGGACTATCTATGAGCTACACTCAAATAATAACTCTGAGCTTTTCCTTTCATGCTCACATCTTTCTATGCCCCAGCTCAGAGTATTTGCTGTTTCTCAACATACAGTTTTCTGGCTTCTGTGCTTCTGTTCACACGTCCTTTGCATGAACAAAATCTTACTCAACCTCAAATTGTCCATGCAAGTCACCATCTCAGCTCATCTCACTGATTCTCTCACAAACATATGTGGTTTCTCACCCCCCTCCTGCTTTTCTTTTGCACTTACCACACCTAACTTACTACACCTACGTATACACTGGCCTTTTCTTTCCCATTCTGCAGAGGATGCGTAAGCATCTTGTTTGCGAGCACTGTGTTCAGTCACTTCTGTGCCCGTTCCTCCATTCCTCCCCCTTACCACAGGCGACCACACTGCCTTGGCTCCGTTTGTGTTTCTGAATTAAATCAAGGACAAGAAAGAAAAAACTTCTCCTCACTCGGAGAATGTGATGTGCTTTCCTCTTACTTCTTCTCCCATTCGGGCTCAGCTCTCCCCAGACGACACTTTCCCTGTGCAGACACACTGTGTTCTGAGCATTCCTAGACGCAGGCACAGACGTCTTTCCCACAGTGTTCGTGTTACTGAAGGGATTTATCACAGTTCTGGGGAACTCTGAAACAGACCTTCCCACCCAGCCAGCTCTGACTCGTGCTGTAATGAGGTAAGCATTCCCAGCAGTGACATCCCTCTCCTGGTGAAATAGTAACTTGACTAAAGAGAACTGCTTTAAAATGAGTCTTTCCATAGAGAGGGAAGAGCCCACAGACCGGGGAGGCAGAAACACAGGTACAGATCATTCCTCACTTCACACACACAGCACACAGTCAGTCATAGGGAGTCCTGACATTAAGACTTGCAGGTTGAG